CTCGCGCTCCGTTCCTACTCGAGCCTCCGCCCAGCCTCACAGACCCTGGTCCTCACAACCTGTGCGCTCCTGGTGCCGCCCCCGCCGGTGTCCCTGGCCTCGCGGGACGCGTAGCTCCCGTGTACCGAAGAAGGCCAAAGCCCAACAACCAGAGTAGCGGGCCCTTGGGACGTACCGGAAGCGAGGGTAGACCGGAGGCAGCGCGCACGCGTAAACACGCACACTGGCCACAGACTGCGCCGGAAGGCAGCGTCCCAGGGCCTTGGTGGTCCCCATAAGAAGAGTACCAGGACTCTATTTCCCAAAAGGCTATGCGCCACCAGATTTAGGGATCGGCATAAATTCTCTGCCTCCTCTACCAGTACACAAGCGCTATCCTGGCGCAAAGGCCAGTCCACGTTTGTCTCCAGTCTCTTGTAGTCTACAAAGGGGATGCAAGACGTGGTCCTGGAGCCAGAGTCGTCTCTTAGCCTTGCGATTTAGAACCAAGAATCTGACAAACGGAAGGAAAGGATCGTGTTCCCTTAACTAAATTGCTAGCAGACGTTTCCCTTAAATACTAGAGTACCGCAAATGCTCAGAGATGTTTTCAGAGGAAAAAGGAAAAGAAATTGAAGCATTTGTAGATCACACAACTACTGCTTACAAACTGTAGAAGAATCAGAAAAGAAACTGAAAGAAAACAGATACCTGTGACCGACCTCACCAAGATTGTTTAGCGTTAGGTAAAGTGTCAGTTTTAGAAAATGACACCATAGGGACAATGGTTTTTCACTTAACAAAACAAATATCCTTGCTTTTTTTTTTTTTTTTTTGTTTTCATTTTTTTTTTTTGGTATCCGGGATCCAACTCGGTACCTTCACTTATGAGGCAGACGGCTGGCCAAATTGTTTTTTTAAAAGCAGGTAAGGGGGAAAATAAGAAATACAAACTCAGAAAATCCTCTTCACCAGTGCAGAAAATGGAGAAAGCAGTTTCACTATGAACTTAGCAGGAAGTCAGACTGTGTTCTCCATCACAGGCAAACTAAGGGGACTGCTAAAGAGAGAGAAACTTCACCCGTCCCCAGCCCCGCAGATCCTCACCACCACACCTGTGGCCTTAAACTAAAGGACAGCTCTTCCTAGGTGAAAGCACTGCCATTGGCTCTGCCATAGCTCCTCCCAAGTTCACCTGGTAGTCAAGGTGATCATCTGTCCTAGTTCATACCTTTATCAAGGGGAAAGGCAAAAACTTTATTTCCTTTTAAATCATCTGCTGCTCCTAACCATAGCACCATAGTCACATTCCAAAGAAACAGTTTCACATTTGCTCCATATGCGTTGTAAATCCCGAGTCAAGAAAAATGACACATCATTTATTAGGCAGCATCTGTGAAAACTCGAACTGAATGAGATAAATCATACATGCACAGCCAGGTAATAGAAATACCGCAGCTAAGTCAATTTAGAAGGAAAGGTAAAAGTTATCTTTTGTTAATGTATCTCATTCTGACAACTTACAATACTGTTTTGCCTTTATTACCCCTTTGAAATGAATACCTAGCCAGACTCAGTAAGATATTTTTGCACAGATTTAAAGGCAGACCTTTTAAAATCTAGCATTTCTAAATCTGAACATTTTTTGATAGTTTCCCGTAATGATATAAAATTGGGTTAGTTTGGATCTTGAGTGTCTCCAAAAGACCGAAGTGTTAAAGATTTGGTCCCCAGCCTGTAATGGGAAGTGGTGGAAACTTTCAAGAGTTTAGGCCTACTAGAAGGAAATTAGGTCATTGAGGACTGCAGCCAGGCAAGCTCATTGGAGAAAAGGCTGAATTACATGGTGTGGGAAGAACAAGAGCTGTTCATCTTTGTATGTGGAAGAAATGTCCAAATTCTCATTCAGAGCATGCTGTGACTCAGCCTGCCATCATGACATCAGTCCTTGAATTCTCCATGGCTTCCCCAGAGCTCTAGGAAAAAAGTGTCCTGAATTAAATACCCACCTTGTTGTAGGTTACCAGGTTGACCATTTGGCTATGTAGTTTGCCACCCTGTTCCAGGCTGTCTCAGTGTTCCTTCCTCATTACCAACTATTGGTGGTACACAAGGTTGGGAGCTGAGCCCATCCTCATAGCATGGGCCCTCAGCTCCTCTGCAGCATTTAACCCCTCCTGCATCATGTGAGTATCTCCACCACTGCTGCCTAGAAGGGTCTCAGCGACCAGGACCTTCCTGTCTAGCCCTCACTGCTGCTAGGTGTGGCCTGCACCTAGATTCACCTCAGTGGGGTGACAATGACAGTGGCATGAAGTAATCATGGCTCCAACATCCAGTGGACCTTCCTTCCTATGCTTTTCTGCAGCAGCTGGAGGATGGAATCCAATGCTTGGACCCTTTGAAGCTTCCTGGAAATGAGGGGCACAAAAGGTGACGGTCTTAGGTCCTCTTGTGGATGGTCCACTGACCTTGCTCAGACTGGAGCCTCTGCACCTGGCTTCTCTCTGGTTTTCTGCCATATAACCTCCAGCTCTATTGGTTCTCAACTCTGTCCCTTCCAGTCAGGAACACTGCTGCCTCTTTGAGGGTCCCATCCTGTTCAGTAGCTTAAAAGCTCCTGCTTTGGCAACTGAGCTGGCTCTCTCAAGGATGGCCTCTCTCCCAGGCCTCTAAATCCCTGTCATATGAACTTTCCCCCCTTTTGCATGTCTTTCAGTAAGGACAGTAAATCTGGACATGACTCCCTTTGGGGCAGAAACAGCAAAAGTACTCCTTCATTACTATCATCTTCTTCCCAAGGGCCTGGCCCAATCATTCTGAACTTCCCACAAGCATCTTAGCAGTTCGTTTCCTTGAATGGTGATTTTTTCTTCCCTGAGGATCCCAGTTCCATTCTTCCACCAGAGAATTCCAAGTCAGGTCCTATACCAGTTCTGCTGAACTAAAGACTATGAAACTAGGCCCAGGCATCTGCATTTTAATGTTCCTCCGTGTAGTCCTGATGCTGAAAGTGTGGTATTTACAAAACACTTCAGTTTCACTCTGGTATATATTTTTTTGCACTCTGGTATTTCTGCTGTATAACTATAGCCATTGTTTATTAAATTAAGGCAGCTCAGGAGCAAAAGAGAAGTGGAGAGGGGACAGTATAGCTCTGAGATAATCTGGGCCGTTCAGTCCTTCTTAGAGAAGGCACCAATGCATTTTAAGATAACACTGCCTAGTTTTACCTGTCTACATAGGGTGGCCAGGAGAGAGAGAGAACTATGCAAATTTGAGCTTGAATTGTGGTCTAACTAGTCAGGGGTTTGCATGGTACAGAAGAGAAATTCCAGAGGGCAGGATATTCTTTTTTTTTTTTTTTTTTTTTTTTGGCAGTGTCTAGTTATGCAGTTCAGAATGGCCTTGTACTCTCTATGTAGCACAGGCTGGCCTCAAATTCATGGTAATCCTCCTGCTTTAGCCTCCAGAGTGCTGGGATTACAGGCACACAGGATCATGCTTCGCTTATCAGAGGGCAGAGTACTGATCTAGTAGTCATATATACCTTATGGATGCTATCTTAGTTACTTTTCTCATTGCTGAGACAAAATACCTGATGCCCAAAGTTAAAGGAGGAAAGATTTATTTGACTTACAGTTTGTAGATGTTTCAGTCCATAGTTGGCTGGCTGTAAGGGAGAGTGTCATGGTAGAGGGGCATCATAGAAGAGAAACAATTCATGGCAAGAAAAAGGCATAAGCAAGATAGCAAGCAACAAGCTACAAGTGACAAGCAGTAATGCTCTTTCTGTCCCTTATATCCCCAGGGTGGGGCAGCCTTAATCCTAGCATCATTCCAGGAATCAATCCCAGCGTCACATCTTTGAATCCAGCAGCAGACTCCCTAGATCCAGCTATCTCTGAAGAGCCCCACTTATGACCACGTGAAATTTTAGAGGGACATCTAGACAAGCCATAATGGATGGGTTGGTTCTAATAAATGTGCCCTTGGGCATGTTTGTCATTGCAGGAACACCATAGAGAATTTAAACTGACTAGAACTACCATGACTTTAGGTGATACAATAATATGAGACCATCATTATATACATGGTCTGTAATTCACTGAAACGTTGACTTGTAGTACAAGACTATATTTCTAGCCTGTTTCCTAGGATAGGGAGCATAAACTTCTGTTTTGCCAAAGGAAGTTCCAGTCAGCTCTGATGATTAAAAGCATCATGGACACAAATTATAACTGAAGATGAGCAGGGATTTCTGGCCACACTGGCCTTGTCCAGTAATGAGATCTGCTTTCTGTCACAACAGGGCCTTGCCCTATCTGTGATGGACTTGAGAGAGGACCCACAGCCCTCAGGAAGCCGCCTGGGTATTTACAGGCTGTTTAGAAGCTCTCTGTGGTCCCATTCAAGTCCAAAGCTTCAGGACTGCATAGAAAGTGGATGCTCACTCCCTGCATTTTGCATTTACTGATTTGATGACCTCATCCTTGGTGTGAGAGGATGAGAAACATGTAAGGGATGAAAGTACAAAAGAACCTGTAGACATCACGAATAGCAGACAGGCTTCTCACCAATAGGTTCTAGCAATGGATCAAAAGGAAGAGAATTAGAGCCCAAGTGCAGAAGCCACCCAAATGTCCCTTGGTAGATGAATGGCTACAAAAAGTAAAATGGAGTCTACCCATGGGCTGTTATGCATTCCTTCAAATAGAGGGAAACACTAAGATATTTTGCACCAATATCAAACCATAAAGACATTACACTCATTGAAGTAAATCAGACACATGAGGATAAATGTGGTCTGAGTCCACAGTACTGCAAGGCACAGGAAGGGCCCAGAGCTTGTTCATACAAAGGAGAACGGTGGTTAGCAGGGCTGCAAAATGGGTCATAGGAAGCAATGTTTCATTGGGCCAGAGTCTATTTAGGATGATGAAAAACTGCTGGAGATGAGTGGTGGTAGTTGTTGCATAATACAGCAAATGTACAATCATATGTCACATATGACATTTTGGTCAAAAAGAGGCTACATACATAATGGTGGTTCTATGAAATGATATTGTGCAGTAATGTCATAGCTCTCTCAATTGGATGGGTTCATTATGTCTGTACAACGACAAAATCAACTAACAGCACCTTTCGGACAACATATTCCCATCATTAATGGTGCATGACTGTACCTGACACCACACAACTCTACACTTTACAAAGGTACAAACCAGCAACATGTGGCCTTTAATCCCATCAATCTGGGAGCCTG